TAATTCACCACCAGATGTCAGGGTAGAGCTCATCCTGACTCTGCTTACACTAGCGTATTAGTAGCAGTGTTGCCATGGCAGCATGGATGGTAGCTCAAGCTAGCTTCCCGAATACATGGCTAGATTGAGGATGGGATCACACTTGAGGGGCTAGCTCAAGCACTGCCTCTGCTGCTGTGGCCACATGTCTATCTCTTAGTGTGTGAGCTTGAGCAGAGCTAGCATGTGTACACCTCCTGGAGCTGGGGATTACACCTCCCAGCATAGCTGTACCTGAACGCTCTGCAGCAGACCTCCCAGCAGTCCCAGGTTTCACAGGACTGTCCCACTGTGACCCTCCAGCTCAGCTGAAGCAGCTCCTGTCCCATAGGTCTAGCTGGGCTTGGCTCCCCGCCTCATTGAGGGGCCAGGACACATACGAACGATTGGCATGGCGACCCTGCATGCCAGGAACCCAGGTCACAATGCCCCTCATAGGGAGCTGAACCCAACCAGCCCTGCAGGAGAGGAGCCACCACTGTGGGGTAAGTGGGAGGCAGGCTTGCTTTCAGCCCCCAGGGAGCAGCACCTGTCCCACTTCAGCCCCTGCAAATGTTGGGAGGTATGCCGCAGATCAGGCTGGCTTCCTAGTGCTTGGCTCATGAAACTGATGGGTTAGGCTGCAATTCTTTCATGGAGGTCCCAGAAGTCACAGATTCTGTGACGTTCGAGGACCTCCATGACTTCCGCAGCTGCTGGTGCGACTGACTTCAGGGCAACCCAGGCAGCTGGCTCCAGGGTCTGCTGGAACAGTGGCCGGTGTAGCTGGCTCTGGGGAGTACCTGAGCAGTGGTCTTGGGAGTACCCTGGGGACTGCCCAAGCAGCAGTGGTCCCAGGGTGGCTGGAGCAGTGGCCCCAGGGATGCCCGGAGGCCATCCAGAGAGCGGTCTCTGGGAGCAGCTGCTGGGGGGCTGTCAATCCCAGCACTGGAGCAGGCCCCCCACATCAGGGGTCCCCTGGAACATCAGGGGCCTCCTGGAGCAGCAGGGCCCCAGAAGTAGAGATTTAGTCATGGGTATTTTGGGTAAGTCATGGACAGATCATGGGCTGTGAATTTTTATTTATTGCCCGTGACTTTTACCAAAAATACTCATGACTCAGTTATAGAATATCAGGGTTGGAAGGGACCTCAGGAGATCATCTAGTCCAACCCCCCTGCTCAAAGCAGGGCAAATCCCCAGATAGTTTTTTTTTTTTTAAACCCCAGTTCCCTAAATGGTCCCCTTAAGGATTGAACTCACAACCCTGGGTTTAGCAGGCCAATGCTCAAACCACTGAGCTATCCCTCCCCCCTTAGCCTTACTGATGGGACCCATGCAGGAACCTGTCCAGCGGCAGCTATGGAGGGGCTGTGGAAGTCAAAGCACTCTCCTTTGTCCAATGGGCAGCAAAACCTTATAGAGCTTCCTTTGTGTTGCAGAGCAGCCGCCTGAAGGGGTGGGGTTGGAGAGTAATGGCCAGGTCATCTTCCAGGCCCATGTGATCCTAGGGGAGCAGCCAGGGCCTAAGGGGTTTCCCGGGTATAAACCCCAGGAAGTGAGGCAGGAACAGGGAACAGAGTGCTTGTTAGTGAGACTCCAGGATGGTCCACAAGAGACACTGGCCTGAGAGAGCTGCCTTTTGGTGTCAGAGCCATGATGCCTTAGCTAAGGTTTCTGGGAAGAGCAAGTTGCCTGTGTGCCATTTGTTACCACCTCTGACTCAGGCCATGAGTACGTTCTATGAATAACCAACTTGCCTGGGAAGTCCCTGAGTGTGCACCATCGATTGCTGCTCCAGATGGACCTGCCAGGCCCTAAAGCCTGGTGCCACATGGCAAAGGCTAGCAATATCTTCCCATTAACATCTGTCATGAGTATTAGTATACTTTGCTGTGAAAATTGTTCTTTGTGGTACTTTCCCCTGTTGTACATTGTATCATTAACTCAAGTGCCCTGCATGTTTTGCCTCTGTCCATCTGTCCCTGGGGGTCTGTGTCTCTCTGTCTGTGTGTCTCTGGGTCTGTCCATGTATGCCCACATGTGTCGGATACCTGTCCCTGTGGGCTCACGTGTGTCTGTGTGGTTTTGTTTCTGAAAGGAATGACTTTTTGAAGGAGATTAAGATCATGTCACGGCTCAAGGACCCCAATATCATCCGTCTGCTGGCAGTGTGCATCACCGACGATCCTCTCTGCATGATTACTGAGTACATGGAGAACGGCGACCTCAATCAGTTCCTATCCCGCCACGAGCCCCAGCTCCCCCCTGCCAGCAATGGACCCATTGTCAGGTAGCCCTTCCGCTCCTGTATGGGGCTCCTCAGCTATACAGGACTCTACCACTCTCACAGCATGGTGGGGCAGAAGGGCAAGACTGTGTGGGACTTTGTGGGGGATGCAGAAAGGGGAGGATATGACTGGGTAGGGGCAGGGAGAGCAGATGTGATGGGTAGAGGAGAGCAGGTGGGGGAGGGGTCACGAGAGCAGGTGTGGCTGGGTGGGAGTGGGGTTGTGAGAACTGGTGCACCTGGGTGAGGAGTAATGGTGTTGCTAAATAGGTGTTGGGGCAGAGTAGGTGTGGCTGGGTGAGTGGAAAGGGAGGACAGGTGTGGCTGAGTGGGGTGAAGAGAACAAATGTGACCAGATGGGGGCAGTGAGAGGAGGTTGGGGAGAGGGGTGTCTGGGTGGAGGTAAGGAGAGCAGGGGCTGGGGCAGAGTGGGGGGTGGCTGGGTGGGGGTAGGGAGAGCGAGTGTGACCAGGTGGAGGTGGTGAAAGCACAAGCAGGAGGAAATGCCTATTTCATTGTCGTTTCTTGGGCTTCTCCTGGTGACTCCAGCATTTTGTGCCGTTGCCCTGTTTTGGGGATGTGCCAAACCTTTGGGTAGCTGGGGCTTGGACAAGCAGGAGCTGCTGCCCAGTAGGAATCTGGTCAGGCCACTCTGCCATTCATGCCATGCTCATTTCTTACTGCCCTGCCAGTGACACACTGTCAGGGCACTCCTGTCCTGACTGGCCCTTCCAGTGCAGTGTCTAGCCAGGGCCTGCTCTCCATGATACATCCAGCAATTACCATGGGAGCTTCTGCTGTAGGCTGTTGGTGTCCAGGTTGTTGCCCCAGGGTTTGCATCGTACAAGGGCAGGCTGCTGTGAGTTGCCGAGGATGAGGTCCAGCTGCTCCTGTTTAGGTGACATCACACCCAGGTGGCTCAAGGCCTGCTCAGCAGCCTCACCTCTCCTTTGGCCTTCCCTGTCTCTGCAGCTACACTGACCTGAGGTTCATGGCCACTCAGATTGCCTCTGGCATGAAGTACCTGTCCTCTCTGAATTTTGTGCATCGGGACCTGGCCACACGCAACTGCTTGGTGGGTAAGAACTACACCATCAAGATAGCAGACTTCGGCATGAGCAGGAACCTGTACAGTGGAGACTATTACCGAATCCAGGGGCGGGCCGTGCTCCCTATTCGCTGGATGTCCTGGGAGAGTATTTTATTGGTAAGTGGAGACTTTGCAACTGCCAGGGGAACCAGTGAGAGAGATTGTGGGGACTTGGCCCCTTTCCGTAGCACTGGGTGATCATGGGGAATGGGTTTCAGTGCCCCCTGCCTGCCACCATCTCCTGATTGATCAAGGGGCAGGATGGAATCGGGGGCTCCGTGTTTACATGCGTTGTCCAGGGCATTCACTCAGTTGCTGCTGTAATCTAGTGACATCTGAGCAGTCCCAGCATGGGGAGGCATTGCAGTGTGTGGCAGAAAAGGGGAAGATGGAGCTGTAGTTGGGCTTACCCTATGAGCGTAGTTTTCCTTTACAGAAGGACTGGAGCATGTCTGGGTCCCTGTGTGAGAGATGTGCAGTATCTTTTCTTGGTGTGTTGCTTAGATCTGAATGAGAGTTGTGCTGCTTTTCTGTAGATTTGTCAATAAGTGGGTGCAGCTAAAAGCTTGGCTTGATAATTACAGCAGTTAGATGGTACTTTACCTGTTTGGGCTGCCATGCGAGGACTGCAGCTGGTTGCCTCCTGCGGGGCATTTTGCCTGTAGCAAGACTATCCCTGAGACAGGACCTTGCCAAGTGAGCTCATTATTTGAAGTCACCTCCCACTTAATCCCAGCCCTCCAGCTCCATGGCTCTGTGACAGCTACCTGGGAAGGGTGGAGACTGTTCTCCTCTCTAGTCACCCAGAAGCAATGGAAGATAATAGGCATCTACACCAGCCATAGCCTGTTGGAGGTATGAGAGTGCTGACGGAAGGGGATCTGGGGTGCACTGCACTCTGTCCATTCTCACTGGCCTCATGGCCCTTTGAAGATTATCCCAAATTGGTGCATGTTAGAACAGCTCTTAGTGAGGGGCTAAAGTCCCATTTGCCTTCCACACACAGTTGTGCTGCACTGAGTGTGTGTTCACTGGGTGACAGCAGTCTGCATTTGCATGGCTTTGTCTCTATACTGCGGCCTCATGAGAGAAAGGGACTGTCTCATGGAGGGAGAGGGGGTGTCACATAGAAATGGACATCTTTATACTGGCACTGAATGAGGAGGAAAAGGAGAATGCCCTGGGTCAATTGGCTGCACTTTGATAGCATTATGCTGAGAGGGACCAGTGACTGCTTTGATTACAAACCCCTCTGAGCCGGGGCATTACTGCAGCCTGCAGTTACCAGAAGTGTCAGGATGAGCTAATCAGAAGCCCCACTCCCCAGGACAACAGGGGGTTGTGAGCCCTCCCAGGAATAGAGTGGACTGGTGGGTAGAGGCTTTTGCAAAGTATTGTTTTGGGTGTGGGAGGGAAGGCAGAACACACAGAAACTGAGAACAAATAAGGACAAAGAGAGAGGCAGGCAGAGGCAAAAAACAAAAAATCCAAGCAATAGCTGGTGAGCCCAATGTGACCTGCAAAAAGCTAGTGAGAGAGCTTTTGGGTTTGCTCTCTAAAGAGGCTTGGGGCTGTAAGCTGGGAAACTGCTCCTCTTATTCTTGACGCCTTCTGTGCTCATAGAAGCAGGATTTTGTGCATTCCTTGTAAATAAACAAAAGTGCATCATAGAAAATTCCAGACTCCATGAATTCCTACTTCTCCAGGGCCCTGAACTCTGACTAGCCACAGAGGGTGAAACAGAGGGACATCACTGCCACCCACACCACAACACATGACAGGGCCCAGGCATGCATAACAAAGCTCCAGCCACCAGGCCACTTGCTCAGGGTAGAACTATCTGGTCAGTTTTGTGACTCTGTTTTGGGAGATGGATGTTATCATGGGTTGGATCAAGGGATTAGAATTGTTACTTTTGTTTGCTTGTAACCTTTATCTGGGGTTAGCACGGAGGAGATCCACAAGCCAAAATAAGAAATAAACCTGATAGCGTCTAATTAAACATTCCCTATCCAAATTATTTCTTCTAGGTATGGAAGATACTTTTTCATACCTGGTTCAAACCTTACACAGCATTTCTGCTTATAGCATTGCTGCTCCATGTCCCTGCAGCCCAGAGAACAATAGACAAAGAGAAAATTTCTTTCCCAAATTTAAAAGTTCTAGCCTTCCCATTGGCTCTTTTGGTCAGATGCCCACTCCTTTTCTTTTACCTGTGGGCTTGTTAACCCTTTACAGGTAAAGCAAGCAGAGAACCGCTACAAGAGGGATTTTACAGCTAACAGGCTGGCTGGGTGTCCATCAAAGGGAGCTCCCCCACCCCTGCACACACTTCATTTATCACAGCCTGACAGGCAGATCCTGGCATTTCTCATTCAATGCTTGTGTTGATCTATGTGATGGGTATACAAATCCCACACTGGCATGGAAGGGGTTAAAAGACAGTGCTGGGCCCAGCTAGCCCCACCCCGCCAACTTGAGACAGCCCAGCTGGGGAAGAGTACTGGAGACACCTCCCTGAAATACTATGACTGTGTGCTGATCCCAGCTGGGGCTGACAGTTCTGCTTCCTTTTTTCTTTTTCCTTACCCAGGATCAGAAGCAAAGGGAGCAGTGGCAGGAAGTGTCCCCAGGGAGGGTAACTTGCCCACCCCCCGGGGTCAATGCAGATTACACTCTTAGGGTCCAGGGTCAGAGACCAGTGGAGTGGCAGGTCTGAGCTCCCCTACCGCTACCCAATGACTGAGTGGATACTAACCACTAGGCCACCCAGCCCACCAAGGACCCTACTGCTAACTATTAAGACCTATGCATAAGGCTCCCATTGCCTACACAAGTACAATTCAAGAGACTGTAGCAGACTTACCTCATAGTTTCTGCGCACTCCCCGTTGTAAAAGTTAATAAAAGCCTGGCCAAACATGTGTCCTGAAGCTTACCAGACCCTGGCTCTGATGAGTTGCTGGTGGGAGTGGGTTCACAAGGCATGAGCCCTCCCCTAGCAATCAGGGCCAGCTCCAGGGTTTTGGCAGCCCCAAGCAGCCAAAACAAAACAAAAAAAGCCGCGATCGCGATCTAAAAAAAGGCACGATCGCAATCTGTGGCGGCAATTCGGCGGGAGGTCCTTCACTCCCTGGCGGAGTGAGGGACCATCCGCCGAATTGCTGCCGAATACCTGGAACTGCCGCCCCTCTCTGGAGCGGCCGCCCCAAACACCTGCTTGAGGAGCTGGTGCCTGGAGCCGGCCCTACTAGCAACTTAATGTCACCAGCCCTGGAGAGATGAAACCTCTGGACCAGGAGAGAGATGCCCAGCAGTGGTTTTGTTCATGTGACATGGAGCAAAACAAGGTGTGATTTCTAATGCTCAGGGTGATCGACCACCGGAGCAGCTCACTTAGGGCTGTGGTAAATGGGTCTCATTCCGAAAGATCTGCTGTAGCTCAGTCACAGGCTATTGAACTCCAGGCAGGGATCTCTCACCTGTGAAGCTCAGATGAGCTGGGTCATGATGGGGCCCTCCTGGCCTAAAGATCTGTGAAAAGAGGGAGAAGGAGGGAAGAGCTGAGGTTGGAGAAAAACGTAATTCTGTTGGACGGGTGCTCTAAGAGCTATGTACCCCAATTCCATTCAGCTCTCTCTCCCTCTGCAAATAGGAGTTCCACATGCAGATTGTGATGCTGGCAAACCAGGTGTCAGCTCAGGTCAGAACCCCAAGCCAGTTCACTTGTGTGTTAGTAGATCAAAGTGTTAGATGTGTCCTCAGATTTTAAACTTCATGAAAACTAGTGGAATGTTACATGTATCATTTTCACGTATCTGTTCCTGTTGTAATGTAAAAGCAAACATTTACATGGTGTATATCCTGAGACTAAATAATCCACCCAAGAAATCTTGTGAAATGCTAATGAAGGACTTAAGGACTTTAACAGAAAATGCTAATTTCAAAGCAAATTATGCATGATGGTCAGAGGTCAAAAGGCTAAGTGCTTTCTTCACTCATCCTCATCAGAGGAAAAGTTCACATGGGTAGAGAGGCCCCAGCTGGAGTATTGTGTCCAGTTCTGGGTACCACATTTCAGGAAAGATGTGGACAAACTGGAGAGAGTTCAGAGAAGAGCAACAAAAATGATTAAAGGTCTAGAAAATATGACCAATTAGTGAAGATTTAAAAAATTGGGTTTGTTTAGTCTGGAAAAGAGAAGACTGAAAGGGGACATGATAACCTTTAACATACTTGAAAATTGTTATTACAAGGAGGAGGGAGAAAAACTGTTTTTCTTAACCTCTGAGAATAGGACAAGAAGCAATGGGCTTAAATTGGAGCAAGGGAGGTTTAGGTTGGATATTAGGAAAAACTTCCTAACTGTCAGGGTGGTTAAGCACTGGAATAAATTGCCTAGGGACGTTATGGAGTCTCCATCATTGGAGATTTTTAAGAGCAGGTTAGACAAACACCAGTCAAGAATGGTCTAGATAATACTTAGTCATGCCATGAGTGCAGGGGACTGGACTAGATGACCTCTCGAGGTCCCTTCCAGTCCTATGATTTTATGATCTTGCTTTCTGGTGTGAAGAAATTATAAATATGGATTCAAAGAAAGATCCTTTAATCTCTGGATTGTTTGGATTCTAACAAGGCAGAATAACTAGAGATAGAGAGAAAGATTGAGATCCCCAGAATTATTAGTAAAATTAGTTGAAACAATAGTAAAGAATAAAATTGTCAGACACAGAGAAGAACATAAATTGTTGGTCAAAAGTCAACATGGTTTCTGTAAAGGGAAATCATGTCTTCCTAATCTATTAAAGTTCTTTGAAGGGGTCAACAAACATGTGGACAAGGGGGATCCAGTGGACATAGTGTACTTAGATTTCCAGAAAGCCTTTGGCGAGGTCTCTCACCAAAGGCTGTTACGTAAATTAAGTTGTCATGGGATAAGAGGGAAGATCATTTCATGGATTGAGAACTGGTTAAAAGACAGGGAACAAAGGGTAGGAATAAATGGTAAATTTTCAGAATGGAGAGGGGTAACTAGTGGTGTTCCCCAAGGGTCAGTCCTAGGACCAATCATATTCAACTTATTCATAAATGATCTGGAGAAAGGGGCAAGGTGGC